TTTTTTTTTTTTTTTCCGGTTTTTTTTTTTTAGATCAGTGCTAACTTTAAACTGAAATTTGGTGATCTTGAAATTTGGATTTAGGGATGTTAAAAGATTACAACATGCTGCCTTTAGTCTCCTAGAAAATTTTCTAGGGTTCATGTTTTCCTTGGGAGAGGACCTTAGGCAAAACATTTTTTGTTCTTTGTAAGGTCTTTCAGAAAATAAGTGAGCAGAACTGGTACCACAGTTATCAGTTGTTAATTCTACTTCCACTGCGGACAGCTTTTTCACAAATGGGGTTTCATAGGCTTTATTTATATTGGGACTTCCCTGTTACAACATTGTGATTTTAGGTTTCTTAAGGGATACATATTAAGCTATTAATATGAATAAGTGAATAAGCTACTAAGCTAATTAGTTATTAATGGTTAAGCCAGTAAGAGTTATCGTTAGAATATATATTGCACATGCTTGTGTATAATATAAAGTAAAAGCCAAACTGTTGACATTTGGACACTTAAAAACCTATTTTTACTCTCTTAGAAATGTAACCTATATTAGAAGATTTTATTAAGTTGTTTCATTTCTGATATTTCCCCCCTTTTCTCCCAGTGAGTTTTTAGCGGAAGACAGTCAAGAGAAATTTTGGAATTTTGTAGAAGCCAGCCAAAATATTGGATCATCTGATCATCACGGTAAAATTGAAGCAGATGCTTCTTTGACTTTGGTATCTGCGAAAATATTAGGAAAAAAAATGGTCTCTTTCACAGTATGTATGGCTTTGCAATTAATGGAAAACATTTTTATCTTTAATGACTAGAGTTGTGATGGTAGCCAGCAGAGCCAACACAAAGTAATACTTTTGAAGCAAAGTTTATTATTTTTTATTTGAAAAATATTTTTTAATATTTTTTTTTTTGAGAGAGACAGAGCATGAGCGGGGGAGGGGCAGAGAGAGAAGGAGACACAGAATCTGAAGTAGGCTCCAGGCTCTGAGCTGTCAGCACAGAGCCTAATGCGGGGCTCGAACTCACAAACCGGGAGATCATGACCTGAGCCGAAGTTGGACGCTTAACCGACTGAGCCACCCAGGTGCCCCTTGAAGCAAAGTTTATAACTTTGGCTGGAAGTACTACCTATGATTTCTTTTCCCCTCTTGTTTTTCTTTTGTGTTGTTTTATTAGAAGTGCTATAGAAATATTGTGTTGAAGTCAAATTCACTCAAAAATCATTTAGTATTAACTTAATCACCATCAGATTTGGTTACTTTTTCTTTTGTTAATGAACTAATTATATAACTGATCTAATTATACAACTGATCTATTATCTATTAGGTTTGTTATCATTAACTAATACCATCCAAAATGTTGCCTGTTCTGCCTGCCAGCCACCTACACCATATACCTATGAGTGTCAGGGTGTCAAATTAATGACAGTGTAAACTGTGTTGCTTATTTACAGTTTATAATGTGCATTCACATTTTGTAATTCAATAGAGTATAAACATTACTAGTCAAAGATGCCAATACACAGGTAGCTAAAACCTTGACAGGCCTTGCTGAAAAGGAAATGTGTGAAAACAATGTGACTGCTATTAGTATTTAACTGAATTGAGTCTCAACTGTTGGATTTTTTTGAAAAATAATACAAATTTTAAAAGTCAAGTCTGAGTCTCTTTTGTGTGATATTAGCAGAGAAATACGGGACTAAAGAAGAGATGTACTTGGTCCAGTGAGGCATGGGGTAGGGTTTGGGAGTGACTTTGCAAAGTAGGTGATGTCCTAGCTGAATTCTTCCTGTGGAGGTAGGTAGGAGTTAGTTATCCAGGTAAGTGGGGCAGTTGCAATCCAGGTAGAGGGAATAGTGTGAACAAAGAGAAGAAGAGAGGGGTGCCTGGCTGGCTCAGTTGGTAGAGCATCTGACATTTGATCTCAGGGTCATGAGTTCAGGCCCGATGTTGGGTGTAGAGATCACTTAAATGAATAAAACTTTAAAAAAAAAAGAGAGAGGAAGAGTCCAATTAATTTGTGTACTCCAGGGAATTCTAAGCATTTGACAACAGTTCAGGAAGGATAGTGGTCAGATTTTGCTATCATATACCTTTGTAACACATAGCTTTATACTGTATGAACTATCTTATTTGGATATGTCTACCTGTAGATAATTATTTTGGTTAATGTGTTTTCTTGGCAGGTACTGATTATTCCTATTATCACGCAATATTGGAAACTGCATTTCAGTTTCTGTCACCTCTGCAGCAGAATTTGTTGAAATTTTGTCTATCCCTTCATTCCTACTCGGCTACAATTCAAGCCTTCCAGCAGGTAAGTTCAGTCAGTGCTTACAAGATAATGGTATTTTTTAGGGGTTGTATAACATGATGATTGTTTGTATTGCAGTTATCCTGGCATTGTGTTACAGAGCTGTAACTTTTCTGCCTGAAATTTATGAGGATTTATGATGTTTATAAATAGAAAGCAAAACTGATACTAAATCTTCAGATCTCAAATTTTTTAATTATATAATTTGCGTTTACTTTCATTTAAGAAAAAATATCCACACAAAAACAAAACTATGAGACTTCATTTATACAACGCGGCATAGGGGTAATAGTTTTGCTAAACCATTTGACCGTGAATCTGATCACAGCCTGTAGAATGTAAAAGCTGTTCATAGGAAATACAGGGGATGAGAAATATGAAGCAATATCAGAGGGGTAACAGGAAAATCTGGAATGTAGAAAACTTCGTAGTAAAAATAATTTGATTTCTTCAACAAATATAAGGAAAGAGGTAAGGAAGAGCTTCAAGAGAGACTTAAAATATATGTCAGCTTAATGCAATGTGTGGATCTTGTTGGATTTTGAGTTGAACAGACTCCTTAAAAAAAAAGTAAGAGAATCAAAGATGAGCATACACCCATCATATATTTGATGTGAAAGAAATGTTAATTTTAAGATCACTATTTTATTATAAAGTAAAACAGGCACAAATAATCATTCACAAGAAATACATGGTGTAATGAACACTTGTAACTTTCGCCCAGGTCATGAAGTAGAACTTTGCCAGGGCCACTGGCAGCCTTTGTGCTCTGTTCTCATGACAGCTGCCTCTCACCAGCCAAAAAGAACTACTTTCTTAACCTTTGTTGGAATGACTTGCTGTGTTTCTTTATCGTTTTACTGCCCAAGAGTGCATCTCCACACGATAGAATTCAGTCTTGCTGAGTTTTGAAAATTTTGATAATTTTTTGGGGGTGTGGCCCTAAATTTACAGGTTCTAGTTCTAGCGCTTTCTTTTCTTTGAATAACATACACTGTTTGCCCTATAAATTTTTTCACAGTCTGTATTATTGATCACATACTCATGATACAGTTCAACTTTTTCTCTGTCCTCTGTTCCCTGCAAATTGGCAGCTGGATCCAGAGGCAGGGCTTGAACTCATGACCCAGAGATCAAGACCTGAGCTGAGCTCAAGAGTAGGATGCTTATAACCAACTGACCTACCCAGGCACCCACGGTTTTCTTAACTTTTAAAGGCTGGCATGGCTCCCTCTTCTTCTTTTTTTTTTTTTTT